CAGCAGGGCCGGGGCAGTGCATGAGGAGGGCTGCGTGTGTCTGTGCTGTGTAAAAGCCCTTCTGTAATAAAGGGTCTGGTCGAGGGCATTGCCTGCCCTTGCCTGTGCTGCTGCCGGGGTGGGAGGGGGCTTGGCTGGGCTGGACACCTGGGGCCCCCTCCCTGGAGTGGCCGAGGTGTGGGACAGGTCCTCGATGTGCAGATGGCAGCGCCCAGCTGCAGTGCCTGGTCAGGCTGCGTTGGGGCACCCCGTGCCGTGGTGTTGGACACCCGGCAGTGGAGGTTCGGGAGCAGGGCAGCTCCAGGAGGGGCTGGGGGGTCCCTGGGGTGGGGAGCAGCTTGTCCCCCACAGCACCGGAGCCTGGCATTGCTCTGTCCCCTCTGTCCCGGCTGGGTGCCCCCAGGCACGGGCCTGGGACATGTCCTGCATCAGGGAGCTGTGCCTCCCCCACCACGGCACCCCATGTCTGCCCTCCTGGCCCCCTCTTCTGCCCCGGGAGGCTTGTGCCTTGGGTCGCCTGTGACTCCCTCCCCCAGATGCTGGCCCCCAGCAGCACCCTGAGCCCCCCGTGTCCCACACCCAGGCGCTGGCCCTACACATGGGGACCAAGCTGTGGCAGGTCATGGTGTTTATTAGTGTTGTACAAACGTCTGCAAAGTGCTGAGGCCACGGGGCACCATGAGCGCCTGAGCTGACACCGGCCCCAGCGGGGGCTCGGCGCAGGCAGTGGGGTGGCAGACCAGGCCCCCAGGCCCGCTGTGTAAGGCTGGGGTGGCACCGGTGTGATGGGGACAGCCAGGGCTGTCCTCTGCCCTATATCTCCTGCCCCGGTGCAGGGTCTTGGCCTGCTCCCCCAAGCAGGGGCACATGCAACCCCAGAACAGGGATGTTTTGGGGGCTGGTGGGGGGACAGTCAGACCCCTCCCCACACTGCAGAGCTTCCCCCCCACCATCACTGCTCGACAAGCCCCCAGCTGGGGCCACATCCTGCCCTGCCGAGCACTGCTCACCGCTGGGGAGAGAGGACCTGAGCCTGTCCATCTGTCCGTCCGTCCATCTGTCCGTCCATCCATCCCACATGTGGGCGCTTTGCTCTGAGCACCTCCATCCACATCCAGCTGTGGACAGAGCAGGGAGGGTGAATGTGGGGCTGCCCCGCCTGCCTGTGGGGTCCCCCAGTCCCACAGTACTGGGACCCCCAAGCGAGCACCCACCCTCGCCCCTTTCCCAGACCCGGGCCCTGGGGGTGCCTGTGGGAGAGTGGGGATGGGGCCATGATGCTGCACCGCCTGGCCACCCACTGC